AGAAGTTTATACTGTGGCAAGAAAACTCAAGTTAAAAAAAAAAAAAAAAAAAAAAAAAAAAAAAAAAGATTAAAATTATCTTTAACTAGGTATTGTTAAAATACATATTAAAATGAGGCAGAATTTTCAGAAAATAAAAGACATCCTCATTGATAATTTGTACATCCTTATTCTAGACAGTTAATTTTGCAAGTAGAACTGGTTCTTCTGGCAGAGTACTCATACAAATGAAATGTCTGAATATATTCCTTTTTCCCTCTTAATTTACTCTGCTACTCCTACTCAAACCCACCCTTATGAATTAACTACCAAGATATTTGGATAAGGATATATTTTACAATGTTTATGAAGAACTAGAATTAAATCACTAGTTTTAGTATCAAAACCATTTTCATTAATCAAAAAGTATACTTCAAATTTCTAAAACAAACAAGAAACCGTAAGAAATCTAGGTATCACACTAAGATTAAAAAAAAAACAAACAGCAACACATTGTCAAGTTTTTAAAGCACTAACAAAATAATTTCAATCTAAACTAAACATTGTTTCTACCACACCTAATATCCACTGCATTCAAATCACCTGGCTCACCTTTTCTGCTTTCCATTTATTTCAAGGTTAAGATAGCGCCATTTAAAAAATGCTTGCAGTATCAGTGAAGGCTTATGGTAATGAAAAAAATTCTATGAGACAGAAACAATGCCCCATTATCTATTAGCATTCATTTAAATTTTCTTTTATATAAAAAAATGCAAACTACAACTAACCAAAACGTGACAGGTTCCTAAGGGTCAAAGAGCCCCTTTATATCTTCAATCTTAACATACCTATCGACTATTAAAACACAGATACACACAGAGATGTGGTGCTTTAACTACATAACTTATGAAATTTAACAGTTCATGGAACATTTAAGATCAAGTGAGTAACACTTTAAAATAAAAAGTGATCAAAAGCAGGTACATTACACCCTATATCATATTATGTATGGGAATACATTTCATATTTCTCAGTTATGATTTGCCAATTTTACCTTCTACATTGAGCCCTTCTATGGTCCATGCTCATCGGCTCACCAATGGCATACACTCAAAGGATTCCTCTTTATGGGTAACTATCTCAGGACCTGATTTTATGAGCTATGATTTTGGTGCTTGCAGCATCTTCAGCACTGTGTGTGAAAATGAAGGCAGTATTTTTGAATCTTTTTCTTTGTTGTAGAGATAAGCAGGAGTTTTAAAAGGATCAGCACATTTTAGAAACTGAATAAACAAAACTGATAAGATGCTGCTTTAATACATCCAACTTAAAATATGTACCAGTTAAAATCATCTATAAAAACACACAAACATTTTAAACTGGCAAAAATAAAATGCAGCGTCAGTTATTAAAGTATTATAAGTCAGAAAAATACTGGTTGCTAAACAGATTATGAAAGTCATTTGCTATACAGTTAACATTTCACTGATGCACATGCCTTTTATCAAAACACACTGCCATTACTCCTGATTTCTTTTCTTTTTCAGTGTATTATAAAAGTCAAGAAAATTCAACTGGCTAAAAAAAAGTCACAATAAACTGACTCAAAATGTCCTTACTGAATTACTAAGTTCAAGAATAAGACTTCAGAGCTTTGAAGGGCAAAGAAAATGTCCTATCAATCATAAACAGATTGTGAAGGCTGTTGAAGTTTCTCACCAAGTGAGCCTCTAAATCTCAAAAACTTATGAAAATGTCTTTTCTTATTTAACAATTCTTCCATATTTGGGAAATATTACAAAAAGTTTGAATGTATTTCAATTATAGCAGCAATCTACTCATTTCTTTTTCTTGTTTTAATTAAAAAAATTAAAATAAAAAACATTACCCAGAAATGTAAACGGTTGCTTGAACAACTTACAGACTTTCCACTGAAATGGTAGCATAAATAACAAAGTACATTTTGGGGAAGCAGTAGCAGATTGCTTTTGAATACACAACCACAAAACCTCACAGGGACAACATTAATGTACTGAAATATTTATTTATATATGTCCTTAGGTTGTGCTTACCTGTTGCTTTTTGCAGCAGAACCTAAGGTGGAAGGTCTGGGAAGGCACTGTGAAGTATAAATAATTGCACTGTTTGCAATTAATAAAGATTTTAAACCTTAAATGAATCAAAATCAACAGCCTCCAATTTGTGAGTTATGATATTGAATCCAACTGAGCTATTTCTTCAGTTTAATCAATAAAATGCACCACTTTCCTAAAAGGTCATCTATAAACAGTATCATGCAAAATACTGAAATTGCTCATGTCAATACCCTACACTCTTAAATATAACAGATAACTCCTTAACTATAACTATTAAATTTCAACCTAGAACTATAATCCGTATCTAAATAAGGGTAAGGGAAGTCACTCTAAATAAAACAATCAAAAACATTTCAAAATACTACAATGAAATGTACTACTATTTTCTACCCTGTAATCGCAACATTTATGTCCTGGTACATCTTCCTTCATAGTATATTCAAAACAACAAATGGTGCTCCTCACAAAAGAAAGAATATATATTTATGAAATGGTGTTAAATTGCTAAAAGGCTTAATATTTGCAAACTGAAAATCACTTACGTCTGATACATTTCAAATCTTTCATATTAATATATAAGATATGCATATTTTACACTGAAAAACAATTTATTTCAGGAGCACCAAATGAAGAGTACTAGTCAACTTTGTTAATGATCAGTTTTCTTTAGCTACAGCTAAAGCATATCAAAAAATACTTACCCATTAAGCTCACTTAAAAAAAAAATACAGACCTATGTATTATTCTGCATTAAATTAAGAAGCAGTTATGGTTTTCCAAGATATCAGCACTGTATTCCAACATAATATTCACACAAAGTATGGCATTTACATTATGTGGAACATTGACAAAAAGATACTGTTGCAGTTCATCAATTTGTCATTCTGATGTACTTACAGTGCAATGCTCCTTGAAGGAACACAATCAAGGATGATACACAGCACAGTCCTCCTCACCCCTACAGAGCTAGTTCTATACTGGCTGGATCAAACCTGCACTTCAACAGACAATGGCAAGACAGACTGTATTTGCATGTAGTCTAATATATTAATATGCAAAGAGCCAACAAATATGCAAAGAGTAAAACAATGGATTTCAACAAAATATCAGAACTTCAACATGAGTGTTATAGAGTAATAAAATGATTTCAAGTACATAAAAAAATTAAGTTGATTCAATGATTGGACTTGTGCATTTACGAAACAAAGCTTATCTATACTGCAAAAAGGAAAAGAAAAAAGCTTGAACGTTTCCATACCCCAATGGTTCAATGGCAGATGCACTGTAGCTATACTTTTTGCATACTATTCACTTTTCTACCCTAAATTTAGAAAGAAACACACTAATATTGTATACATTGCAAGAGCTGCTTTACATGGAAAAACTTTTCTTATTAGACTACTCATATTCACTATCAAAAATTGTTTAAAATTAGTTATGCTGAAATCATTTGGAAATCAAGTAATTATCAAATTAAGAACAGAAAGGTTAACTGTTATAGCAGCAGTACAGGTCTGAAACAGTGGTCATGTATAAAAGGAAATTTCACTGTTAATGCAATGGAAGTATGCCAAAAGATCATTGTACACACATGCAGTTTTTAATCAAACAGAAGGAAAAAAAATGAAGATATCAGGATTACTTGTGCTGAAACAGCCAAATACAATAAACAGAAAAGATCCTCCAATCTATTACTATACTGCAAGGGGGAAAAAACATGCCAGTGTTTAAAAACTCAATTAATATTTCATGGGGAAAGCTTAGATATTTGTGTATATGTATCTTAATTTATCATTGCTACGAAATTATGAATTCTTTAAATACCCACATATCCAACTTACCGACACAGGAGGTTTCATATCATTTATTGTAAAGCACAAAACAGGCATTTTAAAAGTGAAAGTATACATTGAAAAAGTACATTTATATCACAAAGCATTGACCACATAATAGTTGCAAATACATTTGCTGGAATGTGTACATCTACACTAAATACTAAAAACAAACCAATTTTTCATTTCTACACAGAAATATTAACCTCCTATCAGTAGTGATAGATATTTTGTACATTTTCAAAAAAAAAAAAAAACACTATTTTAACCAAAAACAAAATTAAGATCTTCATCAAGTCGTCTGCATCCATATATTTAACAAAGGTTTTTTTCCCCCACACAATGAAGCAAATACTGTATTGTCCACTTCTTATTATTGGCCCTGTGCAGAAGAGATACATAAGAAATACACAAAAAGTTAAAGAAAATCCTTTAAATGGAGCTAACTCAGGAGTGAATCCTTTAAGAAAGAAAAACTGGTTAATATAAATGGTGGTGGCTTCTTGCATGATTTGCAAATCCCTGGGGGAAGAAAATTTATTTTTAAAATCAAAGGCATTGTAGAAATATTCAGCACTCAGATGCCAGAAAGCATTATAAAAAACAAACAAAAAAAACCCAAACACACCACAGTACTTCATCTAGTTATATACTGTGCCAGATAAAAGTTCAAAAGGCAAACGTAATCCCAAACAGACAAAACAGTAAACATGCAGAAAACATGACTGGAGTAGAAATCAACGCATTAGTAAATTTATTATACCTGAGGAGCTGGAGGGTGCTGTGGCATTCCTTGGGGACTCGTCTGGGCATAGTAGGCAGCTTGTTGTCTGTAGTACTCAGCCCAGGCTGCACTATAATCTGGCTGACCACCTGGTGGAGCCCCAGCAGGAGCAGGAACTGCTTGACCTTTGGAAAAACAAAACAAAACAAAACAACTCTGTTGCTGTAAACCACAATTAAAAGCCCAAAAGAATCTCATTTCCAATAAAAACAATACCTTGCTTCTTGTAATATTCCTCCCAAGCCTTTGAATAATCTTGTGTCTGCCCTTGTTGACCTAAAAAAAACCCCCTAAATTTTAATACAAAATTTTATCCACTGTAAGTACAGGTTATAAAGACAAAAGCATAGAGGGGTCAGAATTGTTCCTGTTTTATTTAGACATAATCTTGATCTGATTGCAGAATTTGTAAACTTTAATATTCTAAACTGAGTTTGGAAAGTACATCAAATGTGGTGATGGGGAAGGAGTAAGGGAGGTAATTTTTCTGGTTCTTGCATCCATTTGGATGTTAGTTATACTGTAGGTTTTACATAAAATGCAAATGTCTAACGGAGAAAATAAAACTTATCTGAGAAACAAGATTTATTAAAAAGGTATGTAAGACTTTTAAGATCTGACTGAGATTTTTCCAGTTTTAGTAACCTATAAACTATTTGTACGAAAGTAACCTTCACGACACCTCTTTTCAATGAGGTGTAATGTATGTTCAAATTACAAGATTTTATTTAAAATAAAATGAAGCACAATTAATGAAGAGGTTCCAAGTTACAAGATTAATGAAACACAAAACTCAACAAGATTTCATGAAGGGTGATTTTACCAAATTAAGAGACTATAAGAGATGTAATAATTTTATGGAGTCTTAAGTGGCTTTGAAGTAAAATCAATTTAAAAACAAAACACACACAGCTACAAAAAACATATGACAAAGAATGGCAATTTAAATAATGGTTTGTATATTTACCTTACGGAAATAATTAAACTACCTGCAACTTGCTTTAAAAATGGTTTAAGGACAGGGCCCTCCCTGGTGTCACAACAGGCTAAGTCATAGCACTGTGAGGCTGTCTTGCAACCACTGAAGCACAGTTCAGTTCCCAGTTAAGGAGCAACCCACACCCACAATAGACCTCTCCTGTTTCGCTGTTGTTCTCCACAGTGGTGTATTTCAGTAGATCTGCCTGTTCTGCTTCCTACATTTGTCTCTGGTGAATCCTCTCACCCCCTGCACCTCTGGCCTATACCCAATTCTTCTATGCATAAATAAATTAACAAATCTTTCAGCCAATAATTAAAAAAAAAAATACACAAAAACCTACTGCTTACGAAAGTAACTAAATCTTACTGTAAGAGTTAACTAATTTTAGAGGCCAAATAACAGCAACTTGTGGTAGAAACAAGGAAATGTATTAAGAACAAATGTCAAATGTTCCTTTCTCCCCCTCCCCTCCCCTTCCTTGAACTCAAATTATCTCTGAAAAGCTAAAAGTAAACACATTAGCCTTTAAGGAAAAACACTTGGTAAATAAACTCCCAACACTTCACATTCCAGACTTGAAGGAATCAATTTGAAGGGTCAATGGGATACATTTTATCCAACTGAAAATAGGAAAGAACTCTTCCTATTCAATCTATTTTGATGCTAATATATACTTTGGAACATTACTTAATATTCATGTAGCATTGATAAATGGTTTTACTTTCATTTCATTGAATAATGACTTACTCCAGAGTTCAAATGTATTATTCTATTACAGTACAAAAGTCAGTCAGTCTTAGCAGATTTTCATTCTTATTTTCTGTCCGCAAACACCTGCATTTTTTCCACAACCACTTTAGGGCCCCCCCTTTTGCTTGAAGGTACCACAAATGATAGGGTTCAGTCTATCTTACAGTATTTAATGTGCATTCCAGTCAGTCAAACATCTTCCACAAAGAATAAGACAAAGTAGGGTACTACCTCTAAAATTAAAATTTTATAGAGTAGATGGCAGGGAAAAGAGAAGAAAAAGGGGAAAGCACTAAGACTTCACAGATTACATTCAACACCTACTCATTAAGGGCAAACAAGATCAAAAAGTTAATCAGTAAACTTATTTAGTGGCTATGCTGCAAAGAACAAAGAACATAATAAAATCCAAAGGCTAATAGTTACCCTAAGTTCATTACCAGGCCTTTGTTTTTAACTCACTTTTAGTAATGCAGGGAACACCTCTAGTATAGTAACCATTTTCTTGTATTTATGAAAAATACAAGTTAAACATAATGATTTAACCTTGATTTGATTTTAAACCTATCATTTGGGGATGCCACTTTTAAGTTAGGATGATCACTACTTTTTACCAACATGATTTTAATATCATTTCCAACTATACTCCAAAGTAACCCAGTTTGGACATATTATGATTACCCTAAGGAGAATACACTATTTTAAGGTTAAAGAAAAAAAACTATTTTCATTATTGCATAATTTTAAAGACCCGTGTACAGCACAAACTATAGACTCAAAAATGACATGCACTGTAACTTTCTTGGAATGTCTGCCTAAAACTATCTTTAAATCATCCTCTGCATCTTTTCACCAAACAAAATTAGTATGATCAGGCTTTCTAGATATTTGTCTTTCAGTGGGAAATGAGAAAACATCTTGAAAGTTACACTTAGCATAACAAGCAGACTTTATCTTAGCACAAAATCCTATTATTTATAGATACTCTCTACCAGTGAGGGATGGGCCGAGTATATCAGTTTAGCTTTCATTTATGACAATGGGCTATATTAACTGTTTTAAAACAGTAACTATTTTAAATGTCTAAGAGCATAAGCATCTGGTAAAATAAAACTACTGACCAGAAAAACAACATCAGGTACCAAACAGTCCCCTAAAAAATTAAATTTGGGAAAGGGGCATGCTTTCAATTGTGGTTCTACCACTTAGTATATGTGTGATCTATTCTCCAATATGTACACGTGAAATGTCAATGAAGATAAGCTCTTTTGACTCACAGTAGTTTGTAGTAATATATTTGCAAAGTACCTGAGTCTCCATTAGTATACATTAACCAGAAAGACAGGGTTCTTTGTTG